CACATTGGAGCAGTTCCTGAAGGAGTGACCCTGTGGAAAACAGGGATCTGTGCTGGAGCAGTTCCTGAAGGAGTGACCCCGTGGAAAACAGGGATCTGTGCTGGAGCAGTTCCTGAAGGAGTGACCCTATGGAAAACAGGGATCTGTGCTGGAGCAGTTCCTGAAGGAATGACTCCATGGAAAACAGGGATCTGTGCTGGAGCAGTTCCTAAAGGACTGAGCCCATGGAAAACAGGGATCTGTGCTGGAGCAGTTCCTGAAGGATTGACCCCATGGAAAACAGGGATCTGTGCTGGAGAAACCTGTTCCTGAAGGACTGAGCCCATGGAAAACAGGGATCTGTGCTGGAGCAGTTCCTGAAGGAGTGACCCCATGGAAAACAGGGATCTGTGCTGGAGCAGTTCCTGAAGGAGTGACCCCATGGAAAACATGGATCTGTGTTGGAGCAGTTCCTGAAAGGCTGAGCCCATGGAAAACAGGGATCTGTGCTGGAGCAGTTCCTGAAGGAGTGACCCCATGGAAAACAGGGATCTGTGCTGGACCAGTTCCTGAAGGACTGAGCCCATGGAAAACAGGGATCTGTGCTGGAGCAGTTCCTGAAGGACTGAGCCCATGGAAAACAGGGATCTGTGCTGGAGCAGTTCCTGAAGGAGTGACCCCATGGAAAACAGGGATCTGTGCTGGAGCAGTTCCTGATGGAGTGACCCAGTGGAAAACAGGGATCCATGCTGGAATAACCTGTTCCTGAAGGACTGACCCTATGGAAAACAGGGATCTGTGCTGGAGCAGTTCCTGAAGGACTGAACCTGTGGAAAACAGGGATTCACATTGGAGCAGTTCCTGAAGGACTGAACCTGTGGAAAACAGGGATTCACATTGGAGCAGTTCCTGAAGGAGTGACCCTGTGGAAAACAGGGATTCACATTGGAGCAGTTCCTGAAGGAGTGACCCCATGGAAAACAGGGATCTGTGCTGGAGCAGTTCCTGGAGGACTGACCCCATGGAAAACAGGGATCTGTGCTGGAGCAGTTCCTGAAGGACTGAGCCCATGGAAAAGAGGGATCTGTGCTGGAGCAGTTCCTGAAGGACTGACCCTGTGGAAAACAGGGATCTGTGCTGGAGCAGTTCCTGAAGGAGTGACCCCATGGAAAACAGGGATCCGTGCTGGAGCAGTTCCTGAAGGACTGAGCCCATGGAAAAAAAGGGACTCACCCTGGAGCCGATCTGTTTTCCAGCCTAAATGATTCCCCGATTCCCTGAAATCAGGAGTGAAGCGGAGCCTGGGAAGAGGGGAGGGATGAGGAGAAAGTGTTTTGGGCTGTAGCTTTTATTCCTCCTTTCCCTCCCCTGATTTAATTGCCAGTAAATTAAATTATTTCCCTCGAATCAAGCCTGTTTTGCCCACGGTGGGAATTCCCGAGGGATCTCCCCCATCTTTATCCCAACCCACGAACCTTCCATTCTATTTTCCCTCTTTTTTAATTTTTTCCCCCAAGCTTTTAGGCCACAGATTGAAATTTTTTAAACCCAATTTAGGCACAAACATTCCCGAAATTCTGGAATCCTCATCCTCTGCTTCCTTCCCTTCTCCAGGCACGGGGAAAACCTCGACCTTGGCCAAGTACGCGGAGAAATTCCCAGAGCTCAACTTCCTCTACGTGGCTTTCAACAAAGCCGTGGCGGAGAAGGGGAAAAGGGTCTTTCCCAGGAATGTCACCTGCAAGACTTTCCACTCCCTGGCGTTCGGGAGCGTCGGGAAGCTGTGAGTTGGGATTTTAGATCCCAAAAAAAAAAAAGACGCGGCGGGAAAACGGGGTTGGAATTAAACATTTGGGATCTGAGGGAGGAGGGAAAATTATTTCACCTGCTCCAAGCCAGGCTGGGATTTGGGATTTATGGGTATCCAATTGGATGCTCCAGGGGTTTTAGGATCCACGGGAAAACTCTCATTTCCCCGTTGGAGCCAAGGGGTAATTCCCAGGGAGATAAAATTCCACCAGGAATGACTTTTTCCCCGCTTCCCGCTCCCGTGGCGGTGGGAAAACCTCTCCAAACGTTGCTTTTCTCCAACAGAGGAATAATTTCCTTTGTCTGAGTTGTTTTAATGATCCAATTCCTGTCCCATTATGGCACATTTCAAGTGCAGAGCTGGAAAAAAGAGGGAATTCCCATTACCTGGCAATGGTGAATACTGGGAATATCCCTCTGGCTTGATTTTTTTTTTTTTTTTCTTTTTTCCCCCTCTATAAAATGTATAAAATTAGCAAGTTTGTGCTTCTACCAGGACAAATATGTGCAGCTTTTAAAGATATTAGAGTATAAAGATATTCCATTGAAAGGTGTGCAGATTTTAAAGAGATTCAGATTTTGAAGATATTCCATTAAAAGGTGTGCAGATTTTAAAGATATTCAGATTATGAAGATATTCCATTAAAAGGCGTGCAGATTTTAAAGATATTCAGATTATGAAGATATTCCACTAAAAGGCGTGCAGATTTTAAAGATATTCAGATTATGAAGATATTCCACTAAAAGGCGTGCAGATTTTAAAGATATTCAGATTATGAAGATATTCCATTAAAAG